GTGGAGACGTCTCCGTCGGGTACTCTCCTCTGCCGGGCAACTCGGTACGTCGAGACTATATCCCCACGGCAGATTCGAGCACCTCGACCTCAACTAAACACTGACACAATCTTACGAGAGCCTTGACATAACTGTACGAATCAACCCGAGAGCGTAGCTTCTGAGCAGGGTGGCGACCCGAAGAGAACCAGAAATCGAGAACGTTATTTGTATCGGTAACCGGAGCCGCCTTGGGACCGTGATTCGAAAAATCACGTCACAATTTATAAAAATTATCGATTAATGATACGTGTACAATAGTCTTTGGGATTTCGAAATTGATATACAGGGTGTTTGGAAATTACCTAGCCAACGGGGTATAAGGGTATTTGGTAAGCATCACAGATTACAAAAATGACCTTTTTTGTCCAGAGTTATTTATTTTTAAATAGGAGCAGATCAAATTTGACCAATCAGAGCGAGACGCCAACAGAAACGGTAGGCACCTACGAACTCTGAGTTTTCTTCCTTCGCTTTTATTTTTCGGTTGCTATGGACAGACTGAAGCCAGCCGAAGACATGCCTATTAGATGTCACTAACACAGCGTTACAAGTACCTGCTTTTCTTTTTTAGACCGGATACTATGTCAGCACTAAATACCTTCTATGCTTCTGTAATGTTATTTTATTAATGTTATTATTGCAAGACTAAAGATATTTGCAATAGAATCTGAAGAAATATTATTTGTCAAGATTTATTTCCAATATAAACAATACAGTAAGATATCTAATTATCAAAGGGTGCAGCGTATTATGAATACGTCGATGGAATACCCATTTCTTAAAGAAGGAGTGTTCAGAAAAAGAAGAGTCCATGGAAATATGATGGAAGCATACGCTGGTACCTAGGAAAAAGAATGGATGTCGACGAGGAATCTCAGAATTGAAATAATAGTCTTAACCCTGCGTGGGTCATATTTTTATGGCACCCTGGGTCATATGGGTCTTTTTCGACCCGTTCAAGATTTTATCCTACTGCTGTCTCGATAGGAACTCCTGGATGAAGGCGCTGCTTGGGCACTGAGTACCCCTCACTAGTAAGTTTATTTAGGGTGAGGAGAGAAACCCGGCACTTCAAGGACACGCAAGATATTTAAGGGTGAATATTCGCTTGGGTCGAAAAAGACTCATATGATCCGCGCAGGGTTAACATTATCAGTAAATGCCTACAGTAAAAGTTGTTAGATACAGGACGGATCGCTGATAGATCCTTTCACACGTTCCACATAAGATCCAGTACAGACACGTATGGTAAAACTGTGTAGTATTTAATTACGTGTTTCCCGGCAAATTACGCTCAGGTTTTGGAATGATAAATTCAGAGTGCTGGATGGATCCAAAACTGACCTGAGATTGATCTTTCCCGTATAAAGATTGTGGCTTGAATCGATGATTTATGAATGATTTGCGAAGGATTCTTGTGGGTCATAACTGCGTGATGGGAGGTACAGTCGTGTAAAGCAAAAGTTAGTTGCTTCAGGCGGATCGCACGATTAGCAATCGTTTTAGAGTCCAAGCGCAAGCGCATTCGTTCACAGATTGCTGATATTGGCGCGATGCAACATTGTAAGAGCGAACAACGTTTTCCAGTCAGTTATTATCATTAGTTTATCATATTGATAGTTATTAATTAATTATAATTAACCATTATTAACCATCTATCGATGACCAATCATGCAATCGTGTCTTGAAGTATATTGTTCAATTGTTGTTCATTAACTATTTAATTACCGTTTATCAGAAATTATTATAGTTGGTAATTCATGGTTATTAATGGATTGTTAATACATTGTTATTTAATAAATATGTTTTTTATTTCAATCATTAATTAATACTTGTTAAATATTGTAAACGTGATAAAGTACACTGTACGGTATATGTAATTTATACATTCATGATACATTGCATGAAGGATGCAATGACACCTGCATGATAGCTGCGTGAACGAAGGCACGAATGAAGGTGAGGAAGAGAAAGCGATAGAAAGAAAAGAGCGAGAGAATTCGCGATGACTGCGTGTGTGAGCACGTGAGTACGAATGGGGATTAGTCCAGAACAGAAGGGCAACAATTGAATATTGCGGAGTGTAGTTTCAAATAATAAATTGTGTTATTCCCATTAAATCGTCATTATTCTTAGGTATTGATCCTGATCCTACATAACTTAAACATTCGATTTCCATATAAAATAACTCAATGTGTTTTTATTTTCATTATTTTAGTCGCGCTCATGCAAATGTATACAGTCATACCATGTTTACTCACTTTTCAACTAAAAATAAAGAATCAAACAATTGTAACCTATTTCTCTTAACTTGACACCGATAATCAAAACTCTTAGAACTCACTTTCTTCGAGAATTAACCTTCGTTACATTCGGCCATCCCCCCTTTTCTCATGCATTCGCAAGCCAGGCGGGCGCCAGCCAATTCTTTTGTCACCGGGAACTGACAAGCCGGTATGACTTGGGAGTTGGGGTGGAACAGGCCCAAAACGAGAGCTCCGGAGGAACCTAGGAGAAGATACCATAACATAAGGGATTCTGTCGATTTTTGAGGGCGCGTGAAATCGAGAAACGCAACCGGAAGTGCTAATCTTTGGGGTCGCATAAAATCAGCAAACGTAACTAGATGTACGAACGGGAGCGAACGGTTACGGGAATGCACAGACTGCTAGGTTGAGGTAGAGAGGATCGGAGTAAGTGTCAAGCAAATAGTGCGGGATACAGAGAGTAACTGATCGAGAACGTAACAGAATGAATCGGAACTATCGAACCGAAATCCCTCCACCAACTAATAAGTTGGGAATCCTCACCGGAGCTGGTACAACTAATCCGTGAAGACCGACGAACTGTAATCGGCTGTACCGACTACTGTACTGTACCGACACTCAGGCGGGTACTGCACTAGGGCAAATCACTACACCTCTGGAACACTCAGAGAAAATCTATAAAATTTCCTGGATATCGCGAGAACAACGCGAGAACTACACAGGTGAGAACCTTTTATACCGTATCGGAAGCACAGCTAGAAAAATTGTCAACAGATAGCACCAGAGCACGAGTCAGCTTGTGACACCTCAATCGGTGTTCCAAGGCAGAATGCTTTGACCATAGTCAAATTCGAGAACTATTCATTCTGATTTTTCGAGATCCTTATAGCTGATAACTCTTCTTCTCCCTCGAGTCGTCCCTTTAAACCAAATCAAGAGAGTTCCTTAGCGAATCGGTACGTAACACTGGGAGATCCTCCACGACCGGTTCCCCAGGGCATCGGGCGACAGCTGGCACTACATCCTTAACTCCGGTCAGGGGGTTCCTCCCCTGCTCTTAACCGTAACAAAACTATACCTCCGCCCGCTCTACAGCCCTTTCCCTCTCTGCAGCGGGGCGCCGGTATCTTACTCGGGCTTCTGCCGATTCGTGGAGACGTCTTCGTCTATATTTTACATTAACACTTGATGATTTCAGGTTACAATAACAGTTATTATTTTATGGTTTGATTACTATATCATATAAGGCGAGAGTCTATATAGGAACAGAAACGACCAGGACAGATGTTACGTGGTAAGAGCCTACTCAACTCCGTGGCGCCACCTATGTTAATCCAACTGTCAATTTAAACTATTTATTCAACAGATGGAATAGAAAACTAATACACACTAAAGATTAGAATCAACGTGTAGTAGAATAAATAATTTAAACTGTATGTGTATCTATGTATGGATATGTGACTTTAAGAGTGGATAATTATGTAAAGCATATTTCCTATCTTTTAAAAATGTTTAATCAAGAAGCATCTCAGACTTTAACATTTCCGACTAATAATCCATTGTAATAACTAATAAGTTTCTGATCAATAAAAGTTCACACGTAACTCGAAAACGGATATGGAGAGTCCCTTTATTTTGTCTATCGAGTGCAGCAAATCCTGCACATGGGCATCTAGCGAGTCCAATAAGGTTACTGTTCAATATTCTGATAATTTGATAAGGGACTTTTTGGTTGAGTTAAAATTTCACTAGACCCCTCGTCTCTCCTTCTAGATTTCTACATTGTATAATGTAGAAATAAACGATATCATTGTAATATTTTCTTATTTGCTCTTAACATGAATGGTTTACTTATGGCCACTAATAATCGTTACACAATTATTTTAAAATTTTAACCATAATATTAATTCGACGTTCATTTATAACCCATTCAGTTTATACAACTAAGAAATTAAACGCAAACATAAGAAAAAAACACATTGAAATAGAACTAATAAATTATACAATAAAGTCAATCCTATAGTAACCGGTTATAATTAATATTTCTTATCTGTCTGGATAATGATGACGGTGTCCATCTGTTAAGTCTCCTTATTTGAGTCCTCTTTCGATTCGTCACGACTCAACAGTTTTATAGTATAGAGGTGGTTTTACATTGTAGATTTTGTTGTTGAATGATCGATCACCTTCAAGCACTTCTTGAACTTATCATCTGCTATCCAGTTTTATTGTTATATAAAGAATTTAGGTTCTCATTTAGGAGCCCTGTCGCCTTTGATCGCACTTAGCACACGCCTTGCTTACACGACGGTCAATTGACAAAAGAGAAGAGCACGATAATTGCTATTCCTACCAGGGACTCTTACTTACTGGAGAGGGAAGTCTATCCCAGACGACGCTATCTATTGACTTCAATCTTAAAGAGTTTGTAACCGCGAGTTTCGTTACAATTCGCAGGGAACTCACTGGATAAACGCACGTTACATCATATAATTTAATCTAGCTATGAACAAACGTAACATAGATATTATTAAAAATTAAATTAACAAGAATCAATTTATAACTGTTTCATGATCGAATAGTATAATTATTAGACACATCTTATCTTACTTTATCATGATTGTAATCACAACATCGTTTTGAAGAGAAATATTACGTCTAATGAAATTTAATACAATAATGAGGTAAACTGATAGTATTTTTGATTTCAGTGTTATGTAAAGATTGCATTTGACATGAAGGATGTTTCAACATTCTCAGCGGGTGACGGAATCCATTATGGTAAAATAGAACATCAATAATTGCACTGACTATAGGGGAATGTATGCAATAATCCTTGAGTCAATGGAGTTATAGAAATTAATTGCCTTTTTGATCCTTACAAATTCATATATCAAGGTAGATTCTATCAGCACCTAGTCAAATAATAGTCCGTCATAAGACAATTGAAAATAACGATATTCCAACATACCAATAATAATTGTAAAATATTTTACACACATGAATCTATCATATTTTATTATTTACTAATTTGAAAAATATAACGATAGTAGTGCCATTGGAAATGATTTGTTCGTTCAAGTCCCCATTTGGAAGATGTCGCCATATACGATTGGATTGGAAAATGTTCGGTAGGCGCCTTTTTTTGAGGTATTTACGAAATTCGGAAGTTTTAGGGAATATTTCAGGATATTGATTATGTATACTGTTATGCCGTCATGAGTTCTTTAGGATCACAAATAAATAATTGCACCGATTTGGAATTATATAGAGAACTAATGGGAGTAGGCACAGATATACTAATTATTCACAACTATGAATTACGCTCCAGGACTTCACTCTTAGTTAGGAACTTCGCGAGTGACCGCTGTGGCTCACAAGGTGTCTCTCATCGCTTTTATCTTAACGCCTTATGCATAGGGTTAGCATTCGTCTAATGCTGACTTTGCGTCTGAAGATTAACTATACGACGAATCCTATCGTGAGGCATAACAATACATCTAATGCCTAAGTACATTAAAGTCTGGCCATAAAGATTTTCCTATAAAAGATTTCTAGCACAATTTATTTCTTATGAAGTCCCGGTAACATCATCTACGTTTCGGTACGCATGTCCTTTATATTCAACATATATCAACTTGAGGTACTCATGTAATATTCGTTCCCGTTAAAGGACTACCTTAATTCAGTCTTTTATTGTATTTCGATCTTTTGTGATGTCGTATACGAAATTACGTTATTTTCACAATTATGTGTCTAGATATTATAATATGCAAATTGAGATTGGTACACGAATCTCATACGAGACGTACGTTTATGAATAATTATTTATTCTAAATATATTTATTATAAATAAAATCAATATTTTTAAATGAAATCCTGATATGATTACTACTTAATAATGAATAAATACAATTAGTAAAATGAAAATGTAATATGCAGAGTTATTCAGTAGAAATACATCACCTGAAGTTAACGCTTCCATTTGAGTCTTAAAGTTAACAGAAGACTAACGATTGAGTCTGACATATTTCCTAATATTGCTTCATTTAGCCTCCGCGAATTACGTAAAGTTTTTACTCAAAATTATTAGTGAAATAGTGCCTAATTAAACAAATTAACACGAAATTATATACAATATACATGGAACAACACATTGTGGCATTTGCAGACTGAAAGTTATAAAAAATTCGTAAAGAGACTTTACATAAGCACAATTGTAGGCTAGTGCAATTTAATAAATCGTTACGTGTCATCGGTTTGATGAACTCGAACGCAGGGTTAAACTCTAATTAAAATGCTATTTTCTTTTAGCTAATTTTTTCAAAATAGGTAGGTACTGTTAACACGTAAAACCTGCTGTTCACCATTCCCAACAGCAGTTCAATCGAATTAAGGTCGATCCCGCGCAATTTTGTAAACTCGTAGATTAGCCTCGTAGCTTTAGGCGTGAAACTTCTCTAGAATATTTTTACCATCACTAGGATTTTCCAGTTATTGTACTTTCTAATTGATACACTGATCAAATTATAAATCGTACAACTATGAAATTTAATGTCCACAACGCAACGGAAGAGAAAATTAAAGTATAAGAGATAACAGTCCTGTCTGACATAAAATGGTAAAAAAGTAAGAAATTTTCGACGATAATTTAATTGAGTTATTTCCAATTGGGTGTTGTTCCACGTAGTTATAAATATATTATTCAGTATTTCATTTTTGCATGACATTCCTTAATTAAATATTTACATTTGAACGTTATGCAATACAAATAAGCGAGTAGAACTTTAATATCAGACAATTTAAATAACAGATTTCTAAGTATGTCTTCCCGCGAATGATGTGTAATCAACACTGCATTTCATACGTTAAGCGTTGATTTGGACACGCGTGCAGATGCTAACTTTTTACAGCTGTGAATAGTATTGAGTTAATGAGCTCTGTTAAATCATTCGACTTCAGTTTATTATATAAATTTCACTTAATGGAGAATAAATGCTTTCTTGTTTTCGGAGTTACTATAAATTCATGAGTTAGAGAATTAATACTTTTCAGTCGAACGTGGGAATATAAAAAGCGCATAGCTTGAGTATTAAATGAAAACGTAGCTATCTTTTGACTTGGAAATGTGGGGAAAGAGTTTGAATTCTCCCTCAAGATTTTCGATCCCTTGCAGCCAAGGATTCCCGAAATTGGAATGCGGTCGATGTTTTTTTTTTTCTGTTAAAAATTACGATGGCAGGGAATAATATTGGCATTTTGTGTGATGAAAAAAATACTTTGGATCCCAATATTGCGAAAAAAGACGGAGGATTTATTTTGATGGGAGCCATAAATACTAATGAAGTTTCTGAAGGATCTATTTGCACGATCAACCCAATATATTCGACGTGAGTTTCCACTTCCATCCTTCTCGCCGTGGTTTGAAATATAATTGCATAGCTGCATCTGATAATTTTAACACATTCTCGGTAAATTAATGTAAAGTTCTGGTAGAATAGATGTTCACAAAACATCTATACAATAATTTTTAACAAACATACTCTCGCACATAAAGTATTATTCAAGCTAACGTTTTAACGAACCTCGCTCTTATAATGGAAGACTTAAGCACACTATCATGAAAGTTGAACACTTCGAGCATTGTCAAGATATGGATTTGAACTTTGTATATGTGCTTGACAGATGCACAATGTTCATGCGTGAAAAATCTAGTTCACGATTGTATACGGAATAACAGTAGCCAAAAATTAACTATATAGATATACTTCGCTAGATCAAATAGCAATATTATTTTTGACATATCTCAGCTTTCAGATAGTAATATGGATGAAATTTCTAGAAGACACTTTTTTTTACATCAATCATTAATACAATAATTTCTGAATTGAAAATCTTGAAAAATTTTTAAATAATTCTTTTACTTCAATATTTAAACTGTGTGATATGAAAAAATTTTAAATAATGGATCAATATCCTTTCACTTACATAGCAAATATTTTATAATAAAACATACATGTTATTCACAGGAACAGAAATACTATTGTTATGATACTAAGGACACCATCTTAAATGATTGAACTAGTTTCAGTTAGTGCAATATTCCTGAATAACTCAATTGTAGTAATTTATGTAAACTTGTCCATTTAATTTCAATGGTAAAACCAATTTCTGTTGAGACTTTTTACCTGAATAGCTGAGGTACATCTACTATGCAATACTATGCTCATATCTTCTACATTATGAAGAAGATTTACGTACTATGAAAGCAATTTTAATGACTGATTTTATGTTTCACTGATTTTTATTGACATCGATTCAATGTGAACATGTTTCACAGCGACTCGAATTGAATGTGAACATTCATCAATTCATTATGTCAGTATGGATGAAATGTGGCGAAGAGGGACAAAACATTTAAACATCTTAAATACAAATAACTTTCTAAATTTGAAGTCGATGATCCTAACTGGCACAACAGCGACTTAATAAAAATTTACATATTTCTTCGATCAACCCTTTGCCTGTCACAGCTTCTTGAATTTTGTTGTGCCAAATGTGTTATTAATTAAAGATTTAATAAAAAAAAATTGAGATTATTTTTTTAAATATTTTTGGGTCCTTGAAGTCGAATTTGTATCTAAAAATGGCAAAATTAAAATAACGAAGACAACATACTGAAAATCAAAAAATATTGTCGATTTGCATCTATTAAAGCAAGATTCGTATAATATCTCGAAAATTTGAATTTCCAAATGATAATCAAATGATAATCAAATCTTATTTTCCATCTTATATTGAACAATTTAGACATCAGTTTCGGGTTCAGAGACCTCAGAAATTCAAGGGAACAAGCCACGGCCATTGTTTTGAATTCAAAAATTTGGACTTCACATGTCTAATGTTCATTTGAATCGCAGTGATAGAAATAAGTTTTTTTACAGGGTGCGCACATACGCGTCTATGACACGCGTGGCCCTTGCGCTTATATGCATCCGTGATAGACAAAGAGATAAAAAAAGTAATGTTTACTTTATTTAACAGTATTGCAACTGAACAACGAATAACTGATGAAATGAATATAAAAAAAGAGCACTTAAAAATTCCATTAACAAATGAAGTTTCGAAGAACGAGGCAAATAATCGTGTCAATAAAGGAACCCATGTGCTGAACGCAGAGAATACTGAATCGAACAAATGTAGTGACAAAAAAGAACTTGGCTATAACAATAACTTTTCCATTAACGCTCTGGATGATGTGAAAAAGATTGATACGATATCCGAATGCTGCACTATTCAAAGCACAAGCGTAAATTCAAATTTGGCACAGGATTCATTATTCATGTAAGTATTACCACTTCCAAATTTTTTAACTCATCTTGGTTACACTTGGCTTCTGAGTTGGAGTCGCCACTAAAAGTTTTTCGACATTTTGCAAACATTGCACACCAGTACTGGTGTGTCAGGAAAAGTTGTCTCTTATATGGGACCTTGTAGCATGCGTGTCTTATATTATTGGCTAATCAGGTGTTACATTAATTTTGTTTGGCTAACCAGCTCCACCGCAGCTTCAACGCGGAAGTTAAATGTAATGATATTTATGTCAGTATTGATGTTTTTATATGACTTCTCCGTCACTGTAGGAACATTAATGAAAAGTTTGTTAATACGGCAACACAAACAGAACATCGTTACATAATTAAAGCTGTAAGAAGTTGTCCGTGTCAGAAACCAGAATTACCTCTTCATTGGCGGTTGCATTTATACATGCATTTTCTGACGGTTAACCGCTTTACAGCTTCGTCCAAGTCTGAAATTCGATTCTCTAATAAGATCGGAAAGCTACCAAGAGATTTTTTAATGTTGCAACGAAAGGCCTCTGATAATCTAATTTATGAAAAGGCTAAGGGCAGTGGTAGTCCTAGTCACATTTCTACCCCAGTACGATTCTCCTGGCGATATATCATGCCCAAAAAAATTGTTTAGGTTGCATCTACAATTAATACTACAACTACACATAATGTCAATCTCATGTTATGCATTTATTACTTGCTAGAGAGGTAATTAGTTCATTAAGATTTCTATCCCCCACAGGAAAGAAGTATATTGCTCTAATATATTTTTCAATTTATTTAATGTATATCTCAGATATATAACAGATATATATTATACATCCTGTATATATCTGGAGTATCGAATTTTTGCTAGCAAAGTATATCTCCACAAAAACGGGCCAAAACACATCCTGAAGCAGAAAAAAAGCAAAAACGCACTTCTCTTAACTCGCCATTAATCCCTTTATGGTAATGTAAAGCGGTCACCCATCTACACATTGTACACCGTTTCTGTTGTTTAAACTTAATAATCATCCAGCATCCTCATCCACCTCTGACGCGTCCTTCTATTAAGTATATAATATTTATTTTGCTTAGACATGAAGCATATCTGATAAGTATATATTTATGTTTAAATTAAATCAGCTTATATACTTTTTTCCATAGGGATAGTGTCACAAACTGCCAATTACTAAAAAAACAGACACATCTTGAAGTTCGACTAAAATACGTGATGAGCAAAGATAAGCCCTAAGATAACTAACTAGTATGCATATAATAATCATTAAGACAAAGTCATTATGTAAGGGTTCATGTATATTGCATTCAAATTCTACTAGTTGAAATAAAGATTTGTGACGGATTTAACCCTGGTTTCAGCTATCTGTGGATCCTTGAGGTTGATTGGAGCTCCACTGTATATGCTTATTCACATAAAATATCAATAAAATGTGTCTAGTATGTGTCTAGTATGTTAGTGTACACCGGAAGCACTTCTGACATAAAGTATGTGAAAATATAATTACACATATTGTATGTTCATATTTATTTCCAAATATATGAAAATTATCTATTTGCTGTATTAAAAGAATGTATGAACAGGTATATTTCAGTATATATTTTGCAGGTATACTAGAATGTATTACCCAACATTTTTCGGCAAACATATGTATATTCGGCATAGAAATAATATATTATCCAATGAATTTTTGAATATATTTTATTTCCATATTATAGTATTATACGTATCTTACTGATGCACTCTATAGTCTAAATTAGTGAATTAAAAATTATTTTTAGTTAGGCTAGGTTAGGTTAGGTACTGTGACGTGATTTTTTGAATCACGGTGCCAAGGCGGCTTCGGTTACCGATACAGACAACGTTCTCGATTTCTGGTTCCCTTCGGGTCGCCACCCTGCTCAGAAACTACGCTCTCGGGTTGATTCCTACAGTTAAGTCAAGGCTCTCGTAAGATTTCGTTATTGTTTAGTTGAGGTCGAGGTACTCAAATCCGCCGTGGGGAGATAGTCTCGACATACCAAGTTGCCCGGCAGAGGAGAGTACCTGACGGAGACGTCTCCACGGACCGGCAGAAGCCCGGGTGAGATACCGGCGCCCCGCTGGAGATGGGCAAAGGGCTGTAGAGCGGGCGGAGGTAGTTTTGATACGGTTAAGGGCAGAAGAGGAACCTCCTGCCCGAGTTAAGGATGTGGTGCCCAGCTGTCGCCCGATGCCCTGGGGAAGCGGCCGTGGAGGATCTCCAGAAGTTACGTACCGATTCGTTAAGGAACGCTCTCGATTTGGTTTAAAGGGACGACTAGAAGGAGATGGAAGAGTTATCGGTTATAAGGCTCTCGACCAATCAGAATGATTAGTTCTCGGATTTGGCTATTGTCAAAGCAGTCTGTCTCGGGGCACCGACCGAGGTGTCACGGGCTGGCTCGTGCTCCCGTGCTATCTGTTGATGGTTTTTCTTGCCGTGTTTCACTACGATATAGCAAGTTCTCGACTCGTACAGTTCTCGCGTTGTTCTCGCGATATCCAGGTAATTCTATGAATTCCTGTGAGTGTTCCGGAGGTCTAGCGCTGTGCCTTAGTGCAGTGCTCCCCAGAGTGTCCTTTGGATACAGTTCTCGGCCTCCACGGATTAGCTGCACCAGCTCCGGTGAGGACTCCCAATTTATTAATTGGTGGAGGGATCTCGATAGAGAGTTAAGATTCGTTCTGATACGTTCTCGGTTCGTCGCTCTCTGTCTCTCGCACTATTTGCCGGACTCTTACTCCGACCCTCTCTACCTCAAACCTAGCAGCCTGAGCGGCCGTGCATTTCCGTAACCGCCCGCTCCCGTTCGTGTATCCAGTTGCGTTTGCTGATTTTACGCGACCCCAAAGATCAGCACCTACGGTTGCGTTTCTCGATTTTACGCGTCCCCAAAAATCGACAGGATCCGTTAAGCTATCGCCTCGTCTGATAGGTTCCGTCAGAGCTCTTGTTCTTGGTGGAGTTGGGCCTGTTCCACCCCAACTCCCAGTTTATACCGATGTCGGGTCAAGGAAAAGAATTACGTTACAGTACATTTTAAAATAACGAAAATCTTACAGAATTTAAATTGTATGTATACTTTGCGATTATAGGGTATATCTAGTAAGTATTAGATCTGGTGTAATATGTGTATACCATAGGTACGGTTTCCTTATTACACACCCTAACTCTTGAGTCGTCAAACTTACGTTCATTATTAGGGCACGTGGGTTGAGGGTTATCGACAGTAATCGACGAACCTACACGTGCGATGGTTAGAATTGGAATATTTTGAACTTCTTTTTGATTACGGCTCGGTTCTTTCGATTTTTAATTTTCTGGTGATTCGACTTTGGCTACTGTCGGGATTTCAAATTTTGATATGCTCCTTGTTGTAAGATTTGCGTAAGGGGTATAAGCGATATATGTATGAGGTGGTTTTCTGTGTGCGAGAGTGTCCAGCTTGTGGTACCAGCAGACCCTTCGCCCTGATCCAGCCAACATCTTTATTCTTTTTTTGATTTGGTGTATCGGAGTTCTCTTGGGGGTGTTCCAGGTGAACAGGGTGTTCCGAAATTACCTGACCAACGGGATATGGCGGTGTTCGGGAGACACCACTGATCACGAAAATGACCTTCCTTTTCTCGGGAAGGTCATAGTTCTTAAATAGGAGTAGGTGAAAGTTGACCAATCAGAGCGAGTCGTCAAGAGAAACGTAGGCACCCACGAACTCTGAGTTTTCTTCCCTCGCTTATCTTTCTCGGTGGCTTCTTTCTTGTTTCTTGTTTCCAATAGGCATGTCTGTTTTCGGCTGACGTCATCCTGCTCGAAGCCATCGAGAAACAAAAACGAGGGAAGAAAACTCAGAGTTCGTAGGTGCCTACGTTTCTCTTGACGCCTCCCTGTGATTGGTCAACTTTGACCTGCTCCCATTTAAAAACTATGACCTTCCGGAGAAAAAGAAGGTCATTTTCGTGATCAGTGGTGCCTCCCGAACACCGCCATACTTTTTTTTATTGCATACCCCCCGCGAAGTACAGCCAGAGTAGCCGCGTGCACGGAGTTCGAGTGGAGATCTGTGGTCCAGGAATTCGATACGCCGACCTGCAAAGATTTCCGGAAGGATAAGAGGTGCGGCCCACCGCATTTTCTAAGACCGCGAATCGCGGCGCGTGGAATAAATGGATAATTTAACTTCAAACGGCGTTCTCATTGGCGTAACCCCGAACCTTCCATTTCTCGTCGCCCCGACGTTCCCCTCTAGCAATTTTAGCTAGCTGAGGCTATACAGCCGGAAGACTGTAAGACTGATAGTAAGAAACATCGGTGCGAGAAAGCCGCACCTGGCCCCTAACATAAGGACTAGTACCGTGTTTTTTCGATTTCAGCAAACTGGGAACGGCCGCGGCTAATTTGTGGCTAGGTATAGCCACTATAATACTATCCGGTTCAAATCCTACTGAGTTCTCTTTTTACACAACAAACGCTCGAGGAACTTCGAACGGTGCAGGTTGTTCGCGGGACGTTCAGATAATTCGGTATGGTGTCTCGAATATCGATGTTCAAACGCGAATCTGACGGGCTACTGGACTTTGCACCAAAACTATATCCAAATGCGGTAAATATACAGAAATGCAAAACTAGACTGACTTTGTCCTCGTTTTGTCGGGGCATCCAGGATAAACCCCCCAAGTCCCCTGAATCAAACAAGGGAGATTTAAACGCTGAAATGGCGTTCTGAGAAACGTCTCCGCGGGGGAGGTCTAGCACGTGTGCGGATGTCGAATGATCCGCGCGCATGAAAGAATTCGCCCATGAAGCACTACAACTTGCAAGTCCTTGGCAAGGGGAACAGGCCACGTGTAACAAGTTCCGGGCACGAGGCTTAAGAGATTCGAACATTGCGACCGGGATGTAACAAGTGCATTCTTACCGTTCGGAATTTACTTATTTTTATTAAAGTTTCTTGTTCCTTTCTTTTTGGTTACTTTTAAATGTTTATTTACAAATTTATGTAACAGATTTATATCCCATCATCGTTCTTTATCTTTTTGAGTAAATCACGCAGTGATATAACTATATGTAGGTCCAGTGTCTGCACGGTTTAAACCAATGCATTGAGCCCTCATTCAAACGCAAATTTCACGTGATTCAATTTCCATTAACCGAATAATCCACAGAGAGATATATTAGACATTGCGACGGAACTCGTGTCGATCATGCAAATACCACCCGCAAACGGAAGTTTGTACTGCGAATTGTCGTAAATTTACTGAAATACTTTTTGCGTTGTGATGTGTATCGATAATGCCTTTAATCGATATTTAATGAATTTAAAAAAAAATTAGTCATTTAGAAATACATATATTAATAAATCACGGCTAAATGTATTTTTTCACATTATTGTAATATCAATTATTGTACTTAAAAGGAGATAAACAGAAAAAACCGATCGGTTAAATCTTAATATAATCCGTACAATTTTCTAATTATTTTTTAAATCCTTACTATTAAAGTTATTAATAGCCATGTACAAAGTAATTCTGGACAAAAACTTATATGTGTTTTCAGCGGTTAATATGTATCAATCTTAAAGAATAAGTTGCGAATATCCAATTAAAAGTAAAAGACAACATTTATTGAATAAATGTAATAAAGTAATATTTGTTATCAATTCTTTGATCGGTTTAGTAGGGGCGTAATTTGGAAGCCTTTATAAGTCCCAACAAGGAAATCTACAAAGGTCGCATAGATAGAAGCATGACCAGTCTAGTAGGGTTATGCTTGATTGTCCTACTGCCCACCTCTCTCCCCAATAGAATTGGAAAAAACTAAAAGGGGCAAAGTAATAGCCGAACTAATTTTCTACTCGCGACCCTAATGATATCGAGATTTTAGTTGAAATAGTTATGTAGGATCGATATAGGATTATTACATTTTATTCTTAAGGACGTTGTTCGGTGACAATCTCACCAAAAAGTTATACCGTACTGCTAGCATGAATGCCATTGCGCGTAGTACGACGAACGGTACAAACTTTTGTTTCGGATTGGTCTACGCACACGCACAAATGGTGTGCACCGACAAGCACACACTAATACGGTAAACGAGCTAGAAACATCGGACTGCCCCATTACGTTCAGCGGCCAAACAGACATATTTATATCGGGAAAAGTATGCTATTAGATCACAATGATTACAATGATTACATAAAATAAATAAATAAAAAAATATTAAATATATAATATTATATATTTAAATATTTATATATGAAACAAGATAATCGAAGAATAACAAGATATATTATTACAAGATAATCGTTTTTAAGTTTCGTTGGTCGTTAAGTTTCATTCATTGTTAAACTATTTAATACGATAATATTATACGGTAATAATATTTATTATTCTATAATGTACGGTGCTGAATAAAACGTCAGATTTAAATTCATGCATATGTATATGTACAAGGTACGCGCTGTCCCCTCAGCCGA